CCCTTCTCCCTGATTTTTATACTCTCTCTTTCTCTCTCTCTCTCTCAGCATCCCCTTCTCCCTCTGATTTTTATACTCTCTCCTTCTCTCTCTCATCATCCCCCTCTCTCTGATTTCTATACTCTCTTCCTCTTTCTCTCTTGCCATCCCCTTCTCTTTTTGATTTGCATACTCTCCATTCCCCTCTCTCTCACCATCCCCTTCTCTCTGATTCCTAAACTCTCTTCCTCTCTCTGATTCCTATACTCTGTCTTCCTCTCTCACTATCCCTTCTCTCTTTTAACCCCTCTGAATCCTACACTCTCTCTTCCTCTCTGTCCCGCCCTCTCATTCATTCTCTCTCATTCAATTTCTATCCCTCATTCACTCAGTCCCTCTCCTCCTCCTCCCTTGTGCACACAGTGTGAGTGTGCACACTCTACTGCGGACTGACTGAGCCTGTGTTATGCAAATGAATGCGTACCGACACACACAAGTGTGTGATTCACTGCAGTAGTGCAGTCATTACCATCCATTACAATCCACTCACACACACACACACACACACACACACACACACACACACACACACACACACACAGTGACCATGTTTCACATTCACAAAACTCTGAGCTCTCTCAGACACAGATTAACAGAAACTATGAGCTGCGTTTCACTCTTAATGAGGATTCTCCACCGTAAAACCCTTTTCAGTCATGAACTGGGCTTTAACTGAGTCTGGAAGAAGCAGCCTGTTGATTCTCAAGCAAAGTGGTAAAAACTGCAAATGAGCCTCTAAGCAATCACAGTGTTTTTTTTACTAGGAAACCTTCACATATTAAGAAAGACTTCTGCATACTGAGAAGAATGTGCCCATACTGAGAAGATGCTTCAATTTGAGTTGCTACTGGTATGAAAAGTGATCTATAAATATATTATTAGCCTGAGAGGTACCTCTTGCATACTGAGAAGAACCTTTGCGTACTGTCAAGAACCTTCACATAATGAGAAGAACCATGACATACTGAGAAGAACCTTCACATACTGACAAGAACCTTCAAACACTGAGAAGAGCCTTCAAACCCCGTGAAGAGCCTTCACATACTGAGAAGAACCTTCACATACTGAGAAGAGCTTTCACATACTGAGAAGAACCTTCACGTACTGAGAAGAACCTTCACATACTGATAAGAGCTTTCACCTACTAAGAAGAACCTTCACATACTGAGAAGACTTTTCAAATAATGAGAAGAACCTTTACACATTGAGAAGAACCTTTGCATACAGAGAAGAACCTTCTCATACTGAGAAGAAGAATTCTTGCATATTTTGAGAAGAGCCTTCAAATACTGAAGAGAACCTTTATACACTGAAAATATTCACACACTGAGAAGAACCTTCGTGTATTCAGACGAACGTTTTTATACTACTGAGAAGCATCCTTACATACTGAAAAGAACCTTCACATACTGAGAAGAACTTCGACGTACTGTCAAGAACCTTCACATAGTGAGAAGAACTTTTGTACCCTAAAAGAAGAATCCTTACATGCTGAGAAGAACCCTCACATACTGACAAGAACCTTCACATACTGACAAGAACCTTCAAATACCGAGAAGAACCTTCACATTCTTAGAACACTGACATACTGAGAAAACCCTTTGCATAATGTGAAGAGCGTTTACATACTGAGAAGACTCTATGCACACTGAGAAGAACCTTCAAATACTGAGAACTTTCACATACTGAGAAGAACCTTCACATAATGAGAAGAACCTTCACTTACTGAGAAGATCCTTCACATACACAGAAAAACATTTGTACACCGAGAAGAGCTTTTGCATAATGAGAAGATCCTTCACATACTTATGAGAATCCCTGCATGCTGAGAGGAAATTTCACATACTGAGAAGAACCTTTGCATACAGAGAAGAACCTTCTCATACTCTGAGGAACTTTCAAACACTGAGAAGAGCCTTCAAATGCTGCAAAGAACTTTTGTATACTGAGAAAAACCTTCACATACTAAGAACAATTCTTGCATATTTTGAGGAGAACCTTCAAATACTAAGAAGAACCTTCACATACTATTCACACACCAAGAAGAACCTTTGCATAATGAGAAGATCCTTCTCATACTGTGAAGTACCTTTGCATAGTGAGAAGTACTTTTGCATACTGAGAAGATTCTTCACATACTGAGAAGAACTTTTGCAAACTGAGACGATACTTTGCATAATAAGAAGATCCTCCACATGCTGGGATGCGTGTCAGGCTGCTGTCATTTCCTCCAGTTCATATGGATGTTCTGCCATACATACAGCAACCTATTAGCTCGATTTCTCTCTCGCTACTTGTCTCTCCTCCCTGACTCGCCCTCCCTACCACACGACGCAGAGGGGTGACTCACTGGTGGGAGGAAAGGAAAGCTCTCTTCCTCTTTTCCTCTCATCCCCCACCCCCATGTCTATTTTACTGGGGCCGAAGAGCCTTTTTTAGCCTTATCCTCGCTGTTTCCGAGAGGGATCCCCCTGCATTTCATTCTGTCACTAAACCCCCGCAAACTCGCCCCTGAGCTCATCACGGATGACACAAGCGAGAAAGCGAAGGATCCTGCAGCTGAAACCATGTAGCTTCTTCTACATTTAGTGCTTGTGTTGCTTCAAGCAAATACTACATTACTTACAGTGGTAGGTCAGAAATGGCCCAGCAGAAAACAGGATGTTTAAGGTTGGCTTTACACAGTGAAACTTTCTTGCAACTAGTTGCATGTTGTGGGTTGCTTGCAACATAATTGCCATGCAACTTGACAGTTACACAAACTCAAAAACAGCGAGAATGCAATGCATTTTTTCTGAATCTATCTATTTAGCGTTCTTTATTATAGATTTAAGTTTATTTATTTGTTGTGTGTAAGTTAAGCCTTTGAAATGTAATGTTTAAGTAGCCATTATGGCTATAGCCTACTCAGCCTGTCCTTGAAGCGCAACAAGTTAACTGAAGAGCGCATCTCGGTCTCCTCATCTGTAACAATTCCCACCTTTTAGATTGAAAAAAATGAAGCTTTTTGTAAAAGTATGGAGCTTTAAGAGAGGAGAAAATGAATCTAGCTAAATCATGTAAATCATGATAACAGCAGGTTAACAACAAAGAATAAACACAGCTGTTAGCATTAGCTGGCTTGTTAATGTAGCTGGTTATAGAAATGTTAGCTTCAAGAAATGTGTGTGTTGTCATGACTTGGAAAACAAAATAAAAAAACAACAACCTTGACTCACCCCTAGGGGGATGTCCCCTTTCATTTGTCCAGTAAACTAGCATCTGTTTTATTTTCTTGTGTACTGATCCTATAAAGTCAATGATTAGAAATTAATGTTGTTTGACGTGATTATGTTGTGCATTATTGGCACATTTCATTAGTTTCATGAAACTTGTTCCACAAAATTGAGACACTTGCAAATGTTGCGGCTGAGTTTCAAGTGAGTTGCAGGATGCTTTACCGCGGAATGAAGCGTCTTCTGTTTTATTTTCTTCTCTATGTGGTGAAATCAATCAAAAGTACTGTATGTCATTTCACACAATGTCCTATTGATGACTTGATTGGCTGCTTCCTGAAACTTGTTTAATAAAGTTGAGACTGTTGCAACTGTTGAGGCTGAGTTTCAAATGAGTTGCAGGACACTTTACGCTTCGCGACTCAAGTGTAATTTAGTTTCACGTAGGTTTCAAACTACTAAAGTTGCACAAATTATTATTTTGCTATACTTATATTTATATTTAATCTACTACATTGGTTGATATTATAGGCTATCAAATTTGTAAAAATACCCCTTAAAATTGGTATTTACCACAACATTTTATCAGTTGTGCCATACACTTAATGCTTCAAAAACACTGATAACTGGGTCCCACTAACCAGCATTAACAAGTATATATTCAACCCCATAAACTTTTAAGGGGCTGTATGTCGGTTCACACTTCAGTTCCTATATTAGATTCATAGTTCCTGAATAATTTATAAAAGCTACTGAATAAATCTGATGACCGTTATTGAAGATGTCTTAAGATGAATCACTGAATAATAAGCCTGCAGTTTAAGGGGTTAGGCATCTGGCTCCAGTGACTGTATAGAGTCTATATAAAGTACAGTGTCTAGTGGTGCTGACTGTGTTGTGGCTATGCGTTTGTACTCCTGATTTGTGGCTGTGAGGCACTGAGTCAGCAGCTGAAGCTGACAGAATTCACACTATGAGCGCAGCATTGTGCCCGGGCCGAGGACAGTCATCACGGCCGCTCGGCGCCGTGCGTCAATGCGGCCGCATTTCATCAGCGCCGCTTTTGTAACATGTCAGAGTGCAAGTACTGGAGGAATCTGACATTACGCAAAGGAGGAACTGAATAAGAGAGCGAGAGAAAAGAGAGCACTAAATATAGAACACTGGACGGCTTATTGATGAAATAACAAAGGCCAGTTACAGCCGTGGTAAGAGCGAGCAAAGTTTAACGAACTACTAAATGCATTCATAGCTTGAGAAGCTGTTATGCAAATGTACAGATGCTTGACCTCTGGGCCAGTTACATCGACCTTTCCTCTTGGAAAGTAAATGTAGTGTACCTTTAAACCTTATTCAATACACACAGTTGGACCTTGAGGAGCCTATTGTGCCTGTGAGGGTACATTCTTTCAGTGTGCAGTGTAAATTTCAACACTGTATTGTTTAGACGAAATTATCTATAACAAATTTTTGTCAAGTTACCTGCCTCGAGATTTAATCACCACTTTTTTCTTGAAATCTGAGGCATTCTCACCTTGTGTTATCTGTTTCGTCACCATGGTAACTTCAGTGAGGATCGCATATAGGACAGTAGCTATTACACAATAACAGTTCCTGGGTTCTTTATCTTATCTTATCACCCAGATAAGAAAAAAATCACAAAATTTACTAAATATTGTCTGAATTTGTGAAAAATCTTATCCTGAACTTGTTATAACTTAGAATTATAGATAGGACCTGTGGATATTAATTTTATAATAACTATTATAACTTAATTTTATTATAATTCTCAAAATTGTAGAGCTTTCCCAATGACTGAATTATCATCAGTCCTGTTCTTCAATTTTTACAACTTCCTAGTAATTATTATGCATTATTTATATATTATATTTATTTATATATTTATCTTCAACAAAACTGGTTTAACATGCCTTTAACTTTTAAACAGTAATGTACGAATGTAAACTGGGGAAATATAAAAAGAATGTAATGAAAAACGCTCTCTTCTCTCACCTGCCCATAGGGGCCAGCCTCCTCATCACACTCCTTCAGCTCAATGGCTTCATCTTCATCATCCTCTTCCTCCAGGTCGCTCTCTGTGCTCTCGCCCTTCAGTGGGACCACGCGTTCTGAAGGGGGCGTGGTCTCACCAGAACTTTCTTTATGTAGCCCCTCCCTCACATGCTCAGGCCCCTCCCCTCGTTCATCAGGCATCTCTGCGGTCTCGGTGAGCTCCTCCTCCGTCTCCTCTGGATGGGTAGGAGGCTGGCGAGGAAGTTCCGCACCTTTGGAGAGGATCTGACGGAAAAGTAAGGGTAGTAAACAAAAACACTGAAGAAAGCAAGTCCAGAATGGAAAATGAAAAGGAAATTATTGTTGCAGTTATGAAAAAAGCTGCATTTTTTTTTTACATATTAACATATTTCATATAACATAGTTTTAGTCTCCTGAGTGGGCGTTTGAGTGGAACAACCGTTTAAGTGTTGGTCTTACTATCACAAGATAGTGAGTGAACGATACCACAGCCATTTGTGGCTGGGAGTCCAAGAGAGCACAACTGGCCTTGCTTTGTCTGGGTGGGTACGATGTTCCTTAAATTACAGTCACTTTACAATTTTTGGGGTATTGACAAAGTTCTATTTGATCTACTTATCTAAGTCTATTTATCTATGTAAAATATCATGAATACCCCCTCAATCGCTTTTCTTACGGAGTTTAGACTTATCCATTTGTTCGGCAATCAATTTGATGTTACTTAATAACAATAATGATAACAATAATAATAATAATAATGATAATATTAAAGTTAGTCAGAAAGGCCATTCCCCGATGTTATGATCATTATGTTCAGTGCTAATATTAGTTCTGTCAGCCTTCCCTCAGTACGTACCTTGTTGAGCTGGTAGTGTTTCTGTTTCTCCAAGAAGTGCTGGTGCTGCTGCTGCATGACAAGGTGCTGCAAGGCCTGAGGCGTCTGTGGTAACGGAGCTGACTGCGTACGGCTCAGTGGACGGTGCCGCGGCAGCTTGGTCACTGTCCGCATGTTATTGGACACTCGCTCGCCCGTAACCAATGGCGACTGGCCATACATGGGCACTGTTGAGAGGAGAAGAAAGTGAGGAAATAACATCCACTCTGACCAAGCAAGTCCTTTTTGTATTCAATGTTTCCTGCAGGGCCTAATGCAAACATACAAATAGATCTGATGTTTGGGGACCCCTTGGCTTCTTTTATGAATTTCAGACTAATGTTTGACTTTCACTGTTACTTTTCAGTAAGTAAGAAAAATATACCTGTTGACATAAAACAACGTGTTAATCCTTTGGGTATATTAAGCTTCAACACTCAGCTTCATGTTCATCAAAGTGTATTTCTTGACATGAAAAGATTTTGCCTAAATAATGATTTGACAGTTTTCTTTTTCTGTCTACTGTTAAAAGCACATAGTGAAACCTCTTCTGGCTCCAGCATGGTTTAAACACCTGAAAGATATAACCACTAATGAGTGCTGACATCACAACAATGGGATAAAATGTGTGCGCTTATGCTTTAATCCCAAGTACGCACTTTTGTCAACTGCTTTTGCAAAGATCATGAGATCTAAACTGTTTTCTCTTTAACATGTTAAGTGGATATCAACAAAGAAAATATTTTTGTTACAAATTTTTTAAAAGCTGGGTGTCCCCAAATCTTTGGCATGTTTATATTCATAGAGATGGACGACACAGATATTCCTCAGGTTCAATTTAAACATTTACTCTGAGGTTTACTTCCAAAACAACACTACCTGGCTTGTCCAACATACTCCCAAGCCATCTACGTCATGGATTAACCCTGATACTTGACTCTTTGAGCGCTTAGATGTCTTATCAAAGTGGATCAGTCGTTTCTCTGAACACAGTAAGAGCTGAAGTTCAACAAGTCCAACATGTGCTGCCCACAGATTCTGCATACAGTGAATTTAAACCCCTGCCTACACTGCTGTAGCTCAGCACTGTAAACCATCACAAACTGTAAGATGTGAGAGGTGCTTTATAAAAAGGCAGAGTGTAGACGTTTGTCCTGGGTTTAATATGCAGCTTCCTCGAGCTAGAAGACCAGAACTGTGGTGCATCGTGTGGTCAGAGAAATGACTTTGAAAAGATGTTCAGTAAAAATGCACTTTTCTGAATGTGGGTGTTTATGACTGTATTTGCAAGCATGGTGCTCCAAAGGCATATCATTGCTGTATCTAGTATCTCCATTTTTGTTTGTTTGTTTGTATTTGTTAACATAATTTCATGATGAATGGACCAACAAAAATGGTCCAAAATGACTTTTACATTAAATCTTGTTACATTAACCTACACGGAAAGTTAAGAACATTTTTTCTTCTCCTTTTTTTTGAGAAACAATTTTTTTTTTACAGCTGTGAAGACATGTATGTGTACAAGTTATGTATGAGTTTTATTGCAGCTCTAATCAAATCAACCTGAGTCCACCATTCAGATGCTCCTTAAGCCTTGATGAACTGAATCAGGTGTTTTCATTTAGGAGGTTTTTACACACTCCATGTGACGAACTGTTAACAACAAAAAGCATGAAGGCTTTTCCAATATAATACACAAGAGTAATGCTGTGTTAAAATTATGGTGAAAATAAATGACGCTAAAAATCTAAATGTTACATATTTTTCAATAGAGCAGCAACAGACCGGCATCAACAGCAGCAAACTGCAGCACTTATTGGGACGTCCCAAAAGGAATTCAATTTTCCCAAATTTTGCTGACAGCTCCAGCAATAGAATGTAGTGATGCACTGTATCAGATTGTGTTGGAGTACCACTCCGGACCGCCCTTTCTTCTTCTGTTGTTTGCTGTATTCTGCGTATCAAGTGGGATATCACGTTTTCATATGGTATCAAACCTGTAGTGGAGAAGTTCTTGGGTTCTGCATGCCATCTTGATGCTTGACATAAAGGAGGAATACAAATCTCTTGTATAATGTCCCTCATAAATAAGTGTACACAGCTAAAATAGCTCCACACGGCTGTCACCTACACTGTTGTCTGCTGCCGCTCAAACCGTTTGAACATATCTGCACTGACCAGTGTTTTCAATCACTATTTCACATACCATTAAAATTATTTGTAAACTCATAGACTTTGATATTTCACTGTAGCCCTATTTAAAGTTTTTTTTGTGAATAAATTTTGCTTTTCCTCAACATAGAGTGTCAGAATGAAAACTCTGACATTTTCTAATTTGCTGTGCTTCACACCAGCTTCATGAGTGAACATAGTTTAATGTAAACTAAAAAAGCCTGATTTTTGTGTCATTGTCAGACAACAAAGTGATAACTGTGATGTCTACAGCGATCAGTTAGACTTAAGAATATGGTCAAATCCAACATACGTGTCCAGTGTGATTCATTTTAAAAAAAAACAATTACCAAAATGGAATTAATTCTTCAATTTTGACATCACATTATATGAGGTATGTTTATTTTAAGAAGCACTGATATTGAATCGGTACCTGGTACAGGCCATTAATGGGAAAGAAAAGGATGGATTGGTGTATTCCTAATTAAACATACTCAGAAATGTGTTCAAGATGCTTCACAGGACAGCACAGTGGCTAACACCATCACCCCACACATGAGCAGAAATGCCACTGAGCAATACCAGCAAAACTATCACCACGGCAACAGTTATGTGATTGCAAATTTCAGCTAGATGTCAATAAACATTGTGTGCTGTGTTGGTTGTTATATATATGAGTTTCTATGTGTGGGTGTGTGCGGGGTTAGGCATGTGTGGGGTATTTATGAATGCACCTGTGAGTTTGTTGCTCTTCTGGCAATGCATGTGTAGGCTCCACTTACATAACTGTATGCCTGAGTGTAAATAAGAGTGCGTAAGAGTGCGTGTGTACCTGCGAGCAGGGCGCTCTGCTGCCGGGCCTGTTCCAGCAGCAGGACGTGCTGCAGGAGGGAGGAGTGTGTGCTGTGGCTGTTTGTGGGGGCTGGAGGGTCTGGGTCGTGGGCCGGCAGAGACGAGGTGCTCACAAATTTCCCCGTCAGAGCTCCGCCCTGCCGAAGGGATTGAAGAGCCTGCCGCTCTGCATCCTGCTGGACGGTCAGCTTCTGAGGGGCCTGAGCGGGCAGTTTAATAGATTGTAAAAGGTTAACCTTTAAATGCATGTATGTTTTGCAAAGCAGCACATACCTCGGCTGTGAGCAGCTTGGGGTTCAATTCTAATACAAACTGACCTACAAATCTACAAACTGCCATCACAGTGTAAAACTTAATGACAAAAACAAAATAAATGAAAAGATTTTGAAAATTTTTGTGTTTGTAAGTAGATGGCATGAAATGAGCTCATTGGCTGCTAGTTATTCAAGGTAAGGATAATTCAGGGTTAAATCTAGCAATGCAGACCTCAATATAATTAAATGTGTCTGGGGTTTCTTGGATTGTGAGATGTAGAAAATGTAACCAAATTTTAAGACTGAACTTTCAGAGGTGTGGAAAAATATCCCAGCAGATTTCACTGAAAAACTGACAGCAAGTTGAAAATCTGATATTATGTTGTTGAGGCCTCTGTGTAATTTTATGTTGAAGCTGCGCTGTGTAAATTTTGGGGATTTGGTGACCTCTCTGGTGGCAATGTGTAATTGCACACAATGTGCAAAAGATTTTGTAGCGTTGACTGACAAGGTGACGCGCAGCATTGCAGACATGCTATATTTTATAGTGTTTGGTTCCTCCTGACACATTAATGCCACTTCTTTTAATATTAACCATAAAATTTTACATAGAGCAGCTTTAAAATCTAATTTGTAAGTTTGCTCATTATTTTATGTTTTGTAAGATATAAGCTTTCATAACTTGTTAGCTTCATTAGCCTCATAGCTCCTGTACAAGATAAGACATCAAACTTGTCTTAACTTATTAAGTACATATGTGGTAAAGGGGGAAATTGTGCACATTTTGTTTTTTTTGGTAAAACATTAGCACATCTTTAAGACGTGTACCAACACTACTTTGTTTGATGTCATAAAATTCTGGCCAAAACACATCTTTATGTATAAATGTATGTACCTGGTGTCTTGCAACTACAACACACAAAAAAAAACACTCACGGTGATGTGTGCGTTAGCTGGCAGTCCCAAAGAGATGTTGGGCAGAGATGGAGAGGTGTACAGACTGAGGGGGCTTGCTGTCCCGTCCGCATTCAGAGACTGGTGCAGAGAACGCAGCTGCTGCGGACACACATAAACACAGAGAGAGAGAGAGAGAGAGAGAGAGAGAGAGAGAGAGACAGAGAGAGAGAGAGAGAGAGAGAGAGAGAGATGAGTAGAGATATGAACAAGAGGTTCCAGAATGAGGTTCTCTTGAATTCTCAACACATCTGCAACAGAAATTACACCTTAATGTTCAATTTGCTGAAATTTTCTTGCTTTGTTAAAACATTTAAAATTTTTAAAAATAGTTTGATGCAGAATGTACCATCCACTCCCTGGTTTATTCAATTCATACCTTCAAAAACCCATTCATTGTGGCTGTGATGGTTTTCCTAGTTGGGCTGTAGTTTCAGGCTGAAGTCCACTCTTATTTACAGGGACTGCAATACCGAAAAACTGTGGCCTGTGCAAAATTTATGGCACTTTTCATACTTTTATACTGAACCCAATTCGTATAAGTTGAACTCAGCAAATAAATAGCATTTTGCACTATATATAAAGAGAGTTCGAACATGGTCTGTTTTGTACACAAAACTGCACAAATATCACAAATGGAATTCAGGGTAAATGTAGAAGATTGGCCCTCTTTTTAAAAAGAGAGAAAAAAAAAAAGAAAACAGAAAAGCAGGTAAATTTATGCTCTGACTTTAAATGGACAAACGGACTGCAGTGTTCAAGGTCTTTCCTGTTCATTTTCACTGTTTATAGTTGATGCTAGAGCTGAATCACCAACTGAGTGACTGGGCTCAGTGACCGGGCGCAGGCTGTGAAGTGTTTTTGGGGCAGTGGTGGTGACCCCCAGTCTCCGGGCCTAATGAAAGAACGCACTCTGAGTGAAAATAGCTCATTCACTCCCTGCAGAACCCTTTCACCCCTACATTCAAAACGCAAAATGCAAAACTATTAAGCACCCTTTCACTCCGTAGTCCGTTTTGAACGCACAAACACACTCTCTGCTGCTGCTGTGAATCAGCTGCAGACGTGCAGTGGAGGCATGACGTCACTTCGATTCTGACTCAACAAAAGTCCCACTGTGAAAACAACCCCTCCTCAAAAAAAGAGTAATAAGAACTTTCATTTCATGGCAAACTGCCCCGGCTACAGCAGCGATGATGTCAGCGCCATTCTCCTTCAGTGGGGGCTGTGGAACAATAATCTCTGATGACTAGACTATTGTTCAAAGGTTTGCAAACACCCTTTTGCCAAAAAACGTATACAATGATCCTAATACAAACACAAATACCAATCCTAATACAAAAATATATAATTTAGTAATTTTTTTATCATTACATCCGAGATAGTATGATGCTAGTAATAAATACATCTAAAAATACCTTCCAGTTTATATTATATGTAGTTTTAAATTGTATATTTCAATGTACAGAACTGTGCAAAAGTCAGAGACCACCTTTCATTTATTTAATTTCCAGCCAAAATAGCCATTAAGTTATTCATTTGTCAACTCCAGGAAAAAAGGCAGAAAACATTTATTACATGAAGGTCTAAAAACTAAATGTAGTATACAATTTTTCAGCATTTATTGTATTCATTTTTTGTCTTTATTACAGCGTCCATTCTTTTCAGGAGACTTTTCTGCAGGAATATTTTTCCACACCTCCAAAGCTCAGTCTTAGAAGATGGTTGCAGTTTCTTTTTCTCACAATCCAAATAATCCCAAACACATTTAATGATGTTGAGGTCTGAACTGGGGTGGTCAGTTCATTGTTCTGAGAACACCAGCAGCTTCTTTATTTGATTTGCAAACTTTTTTCTTCTTTTTTGTCTGTTTCCTTTTCTCAGTGAGGGCTTCTTAACAGCTACACATCCTTTCAGACTCATGTCATTGTGTTGTCTTCTCACAGTGGAAGGATGGACAGAAACACCTGTGGATTTTTCAGATCTGAAGCAACAGTGGAGCTTTAAGTGCTGTTTATCTGATGGTTTTGGTGGTCTACCAGGTCTTAAATGGTTGTTTGGAATCACATTTTCTCTTTCAATATAGAATTTAGTATTGTTTTAAACTCCAGTTTTGGAAATTCCTGTTTTTTTCACTTACGAAAACAAACAACGTATACTTAATGGCCGTTCTGACAGGAAATTAAAAAAAAAAAAGTTTCTGACTTTGCACAGCTCTGTAAAATAACAAGTTTTATTATGCCAAGTGATTCCAAACTTCTGAACAGTAGTGTAAGTTCACTGCAGCAGTGATGATGTCACTGTTCTATCCTCCCTCCACATGCCCGTTCTCCTCCGGCAGCGACGGCTATGGAATAACGATCTCCAGTGGCTATTTTTGGGACGAGGTACAAATGAGCGCACGTACGAACCGCTGCAATAACGGGCTGCTGGTTATGTCATCGGCCACTTGCGGAGAATGGCAGCGATCGAGCGAATCATGAGGCAGAAAATCGCTGGCTGACGAGACTGATGTGTGCTATATTTGTTGCCCTACTTATGGGGGGGAAATCTTTCTTTAACTGCAGAGGGTTGTTATTTTTTTCATTTCCCCAAAAGGCATAAAGAGGATTGATTAGAGGCAGGCAGCGAGCTCTGGCTGTAAAAATAACAAATGTACAGCGCCCAAAAATACACAGGGAGGAAATAAAATAGCATTCATCAACCTAACAATTACTGACTCCCCTGACAACAATGACGTACATAAATATGTTATGACGTACGAAAACATGAACTGAACTGAGGGCCCAAAACAGCCCATTTGACCAACATCATTGCTCCTGGAGGCATAATACAGGCTTTTAGGTGTTCTGGTCTATTTATACTGAAAAAGTGATGCATTGAATCTATATTTACTGAAATATGTACATTATTTCCACATGAATCAAATATATTACATCAACACAATTATTGCCAAATGCAAGTAAACTGTGTTGACATAACAGATTTTACTCAGGTGTACACATCACTTTTTTCTGTTTGCCCTCAAAACTGCTAGCCACTGTATAAGCTTAGGTTAAATCACACAGCATTTTTCTTGCATTTTATTATTTTTTATTTTTTTGAGTTCACTTATGACAACTGTGTGGTTTTATGCATCATAAACCACTGTAATTCATTTTTGCACACAGCCATTTTCAAACCTCTCTTTGTCCCTTACAGTTAAACAGGATGTTTTTGTCATTGGGCCTTTAAGACTGATATACAATCATATGCAAACTTTTGAGCAAATCCAGTGAAATTAAAGGAACAAATTTAAATATGGCATTTTTCTTTTTTTTATTGCATTGCAAATCTTCATTTTATATGTTGCGCATTTCGATATATATGTTGAGTTTAACAAATTTGAAAAAAAAACATAAAATATAAAATGTGCCATAACTTTTGCACAAGCCTGATTTTATGTTCCCGCAATATGTAAAATTCAGCAAATAAACAGGAATTCTGCATTTCAATATACATAAGGCTTATTACTATTATTATTATTATTATAATTATTATAAATTAATTAATTAATTTTTACTACTACTGTTGTTTTTGACACTCTTCCAGCTGTAAATACAACAACAACAACAACAACAATAATAATAAAAATATTAAAATGATGTACATTGCGATTATTATAAAAATCTTTACGAAAAATAATTATTTATTGATGATTAGTGTATTTTATAATATTGTATTTTTTGCTGAGTCATTTCTTATTGAGTCATGCTCAACTTTAAAATATCAGACCATTTTTTTTTTCTTTCCTTAAAACAAAAATATTGGAAAGGCAGTGATCTTCCTGCCATTAGGAAAATATCACAGAGCTGCACCTGCAGTGCACATGTGGGCCTTAAAGGGAATGAGAGGAGTTTATCTGACTGACCGTAGCCGCAGCACGTCAAACCACACCTGCTGATAATGTATTCACTCTAACTCCGACCCTGTTCACAGTAGTGCTGCTCTGTGCCAGGTAAGAGCCGGAGCTACGGGTCAGGAAAATACTAAAAATATATCTGCCACACCCACACGTGCCAGTGCCATTATTTTATGTCTTATTTTTGCGCTTGCGCTACAACCACAAACTATAGTCTACAATACAGCACTATGATACAGACTTTACCACAGAAATGAAATAATGTTTGTAATTTTGTAAATAAGTCTGCTTGTAAAACTCACTGGCTGTGCTAGAACAGTCAGAATGACACTCAGATGTGCTAAACATGTTTAATATGCTGGTCACTGAAGGCGGTCAATCAGACAGCTGCAATGTTCCTGCCCTACGGCTAGTGTTTTGTGGTAAACACTCGCACACACACAAACGCACACACTTTCTTTCAAGGTTACGATGCTCCGACAGCTAGTGGACACACTCAGTGCACTACCCCTGCAGTGCTGCTCATTCTTCTGCTGTAATGCATCATTGTACTGCATCATTTCTAAATACAACTCAGCAGCACACAAACTCAACTGCATATAACTTATTAATTGCTACTTGCAATACGCAAACTGCATCTGACAAATCCCAATGCTTTTACTGCGTGCTGTGAACATCCCGGCTAGACGTTCAAGATCTCTGATGATCCAGATGAGTTTCTGTGGTTGTGTGCATGAATTAACCCATTAAATCCCAGGCTTATAATATCCAGAGGATTATTACACAATAACGACAACAATTTATGAGTGGCTATTCTTAAGCTTTAGAAGGTGATCTAATACATAATTAACACTGGCTAATTTTTCATCATGGTTCACAAGTGCATTTGTAATACAAAAGTTTGAATACCCCTAGTCAAATTATATGTTTTGTTGTCTTTTCTAAGTGACACATCCTCTACAGAAAGCATACCTTAACATGGCAGAATATTTTCTGCTGATTTTAGTGCACAATTTCTTTTTATTTGCTAAATTTAACATATTGGAATAAATAAAACATACAGAATAAAATGTGCCAAAACTTTTGCACATTCCAAATGTTTTTTTCCTATTTGTTGAATTCAGCAAATAAACCGTAACTGTGCATTAAAATATGCAGGAGTGTGTTCTCTGTAGAGGATGTGCTCATTTATTTTCACTTAGAAAATAAATAGAACATGTAATTTGACCAGGGATGCCCAAACTTTGCATGCGACTGTATGTCGCAACACGTTCACAATCACAAAGTAATAAATCAGCAACATAATTTCACTAAAGCCAAACATGAATATGCACTTTTTTCACACACCTTACGTGTTGTAAGGCTAACTAGTCCCCAAAGCACCGTAAATCCGAATCCGTAAATTTCTCCACAATGATCTATTTCACATCAAACCACTCTCAATCACTCTGAGCTGTGCTGAAATTTTAAAAAATCCCTAAAGAGGGTTTTGGGGCGCTGGGCGGCTCACCTCAGCGTGGATGTTTGGGACAGAGCCACTGGAGCCGTTCTCTGCGATGGCACTGTTGGAGCTGTTTGGGGAGCTGGGGCCAGAGCCAGGAGCACTGCTGCACATTGAGGAGACTACAAACACAAACAAATACACAAATGTCAACATCAGGAAAGCACACCTCACATAGCTTGTCTTTACTGCAATGCATGCTGACCATGCTAGATGAAACCTGGGCTAAATATGACATTTTATACATAATGAATGGAAGTAACTGCATACTGATTTACTCTGTTCGACCTGGGAGTCATTCTGGCTCTTAATATCAATTACATCAAGGAATAGTTCAGTCAAAAATTGCACGATCCCCTTTTTAACCCAGATATAGTCAATCGGCCAAGATATGTATGGTGTGTGAAGTTTGCTTCTTTAGTTTTGCACGAGATACCTGCATCATGTAACCTGCATGCCTAAATCATCACACAGATGCCTCAAACCACACAGAGCTGTTAAGTAATCTCAAATCGTCTTGTTTGTGCTTTCTGTCACTGTATGACATACTGTCATGTATAGAAATGGACTAAATTATGCTGCACAGCTAAAACAGCAGCAGGCATTTTGAAGGCAACAGTAAGTTATCCACCACATAAGGGGGTTCACGCTTTGTTTGTGGACCAATGCACTTATTTCTCATTCTTTTCAGTAGGAGAGATGCATTTTGCTTCTTGTTCTTGCACTTGAATTGCAGAGTCCAGACATCATGAAAAAAGTTCAAATCATAGCAGTCAAGTAGCCTTTATCAATTTTTTCTGACAGAAATTCAAAGGCAGATCAAAAGTAAGGTGGGCCTTAAATGACAGCTGTAATGGAAGAGGAATTAGCGGTTGCAGCTTGTTTATTTAGCAACAACACATTATCAACAGTAGTTGTAAATATAAAAATGACAGCTTACGGGCACAGCTTATTTACAGTTACAATTATTAATAGTGATTCCTGGCAGATATGATTAAATTATGAAAATATAAGCCTTCTTGGTTTCCCAAAGGCATTTAAAGTTATAACGTCTGCTATAACAACAGAAACTCATTTTTAATATGTAAAGTAGATGTGGATTTGAAACTACTGTCTAGCAGTCTGAGGTTTCTCCAGCAGGAGGCACTGTTAGCACACAAGTCACTTTAGTGTTTGCCATTAAGAAAAGAAATAAGCATAAATCTCTACAGAATCTAACAAACGCAAGTGTTTGCAGTAACAGCTGTCAAAATGACAGGTAAAAAATATTATTACCAAAAGTTACTCAGTATTATGCATGTATTAAATAATATGAAATCAGTTACTGTGAAAAAGCATGTAAGCTAAAGACAGAATGCAGCTGCAGAGGACAGTGTTTGAGTGTTTCATTGTTGATCTGCTGCTGCTCAAACTCTTTGAATGCTTGTGCAATGACCAGCATTTGAACCACTGCTTTAAAATAATTTAAATCAACCTGAGAGCTTCTGACTCTAGGTTAGATTTAGGTGTTTTAAGCCCCTTGTCAGACCTGGCCCACATAAGCAGTTCCTTTCTTTATCTAAATCGGGTAGACTAAGGTCTACCATGCTCCATTTCATCAACACACGTCTGCCACATCATGGACAGTGCTCCTGCAGGCCACCATTAAAGCTACCCCCTCTTAAAGAGCTATTCTTAGCCTCTCTGAGCTCAGGCGTCCGCATTAACGATGAACCGGATGGGGTCAGGGCCGTGTCAACAGCAGGACCTACTCTCCACTCACCACTCACTGCTCGCTATTCACGCACGCTGCAGTAGTGACACACACAGATAATGTGCAAGTTATTCATTACAACCAGCCTGCTAGTGTGAGCTATGGTGTGGTATTTAATAACTCAGCTGAGGTTTCTTTCACAGTGAGGGCCAGTTTATATTACATTAGGAGATTTATAAGAAATATGTAATTATATAAAAAGCATCTACACTGCCAAGCTGGTGTGGTAAGATAAGTTTTACCAACATGCTCTGGCTAGACATTTCTAAATTAGGGGCCAACTGATATATCGACTGATTTTGATGACCCATAATTTTATCAGTATCTGATATCACAGATAATAGTAACTTTGTTGCCATCACCAGGATTAAACCAACAATTTCCCACTGATAGGGCGAAATTTTAGATAGCTGTGCCACTTGAGGACAGAATATCACAGCAACACAGGCTGAACACCATTATTTGAACATGAAACACCATCATGGTTAGAATAAAAAAAAAAAGTTAGACAGATCCAAATCTACCCTTTAGCAAGAGACTTACATCTTATAACTACCCATAAAACTACACTTTTATGAAAAGAAATAATGAAAAATTACCCAAACACACAAATAATTCCGAGCCTCCACTCCCACTGTTAGGACTTCTATATTATTTAAGACCGTGAGTTTTAGCTATTTATTTGAGTTTTAGAAATTGAAGCAACTGAGAGCTGACAGCCTTACAGTCAAACAGAACTTGTTTAACTAAAACTATTGGGGTATATAAAAACATAAAATAGAAATATAAAATGACACCACCTTTTATTACCACTTAGTGGATTGTTTAGTCCAAAACTAGGCCTTAAAATAGCCTAAAAAGAATTGAACCGTTTTCCTGTAGGAATAAAATGTGTGCAAATTAGCTTCTGAACAGCACCCGAAATAGTGGAAACTTCGAGGAGGTGCTTCTAATGCTCACAAATGAATTACTGAGTAGAGCTGTGATTTGTACACATTCATTCATCTTCAAATGGCAATGACTAAAGCAATAATTTTAAGGCAAGAATTAAATGTCTGCAATTTCCCCCGTACCCCAAATGTAGTCAGTCAACCAACACTAAAGTAGCGAACAAGTAATGGAAGCTTATACCAATTATCATTGTGATGATTTAGCCACTTACTGTGCAAAGTGCTAACCTGGGGTCTATTAAGATTCCATTACTTGTAAGTTAGCTCCAGTTCAAAAGTCTGATCAACTACACTTGATGTAAGGGGAAAACTGCAAATCTGATGTTTTGTTAATAGATTTATTTAACACTGAACCCATTTGTGTGTTACCTGAGATCTCGATGGCTCTCTTCTTAAAGGTGCTGATCACAGTGCCGTCTTTGCGGCGGAGCAAAGGGCTGCTCCTTCTTTCAGCCACCTTCTGCTTTAATCGGGAGCGCACCTTCAGATTGGGCTCGGAGGCTGAGAGAGAGCAAGCGAGAGAGAGATAGAGAGAGAGAGAGAGAGAGAGAAATCAACACAGAGAGAAGTTAGTGATGAAACCAGCACACAAGCTAACAGACTAATCAGTTCAGTGCATCAGCACCATGGACAGCTACTATGAATTTAATATACAAATACACAAACTAATGGTTTAACCAGAATTTCAGTTTGGGTGGAGGGCCTAGTTACAGACTTGTGGGGGTGGCAGCTAGGAAGCATTATGTCCCATTGCCATATTGAGTTTGACAACCACCAATTAGCCTACTTCACTGCAGCTTCCAGTAACACTATACTAATTAACACTATACTAATAACTGACAAAATAATATATAATATATTATATTAACTGACAGAACACCGCATCCGGTCTCGGTTAATAACTAATACGCACAGATGTTTGGGACGAAAGGCTTAAGACTGCGACCTTCTCATCATTTTGTTAACAATATTCAACTTTTATTTACTACTTTACCACTCACCTAGCTTGCTTGCTAAGTAAGTAGTAGGCTACACTAGCTACAAGCACAGCTCAGCTACGTTCCAAGAACCTGCAGAATCAGCTGAGCAGGCTAATGTAAAAATAGTAAAAAATGTAAGTAGCAAAAATAAACAAGACACTTTCATACATGGCATCGGAGGACTTTTTTTGAGCACTCAGAGATCTGGGCCTAGCTTCCAAGTGAGGTGGCCTTGCCTCCCCCCCCCAAGCCCCCCCATAGCTACAGCCCTGACACAAACACAGGCACATACAGGTTGCTATTTGCTATTTTTAGCACTGTGCGCAGATGTGGGAGAAGATAAGTCAAATTAAACTAATGGTACTAAAAGGGGATTTAGCTGATAAGAAGAAAAATAGAAATTGGGGCAATTATGCAAAAGCAGTGTCTGTGTGTGTGTTTGTTTTATGGGTCTGTCTGTGCGTCAGAGCCTGAGTGTCTATATGGAGCGCAATGGACTTTGGGCCTAATGCTATCAGTGGCTTTAGTATGGGTTTAATTTGATTAAAATAAAAAGTGTTCGAGGTGAGGGATCGGGCTGCAAATGAGAAACACACGCGATGAAGGCAGATTATGTAAGGGGCTTGGAGCTGTGTGTTAGTGGAACAGGAGGAGAGTGTAGTAAGTCTACGCTTAAGAGGTTTACTCCAATTTCAGCCTGAAACCTGAAGCCAGCACACGCAGAACACACTCACTAAGACTGCACAATATATTGGGAAATTATTATCATCGGGATTTTGACCTTTGCAATACAGACTGTGCAGGGTACCGCAACATGCAAATGCGCAGGTTGACGGTTTTGTATTGTGTTCTATAACATTATTGCTTGACTAATGCTTTTTCATAGTGAAATAAATGCTTTTTTAATAATGACTAATATCTTTTCATAGCGAATAAAATACAGTTTTAATATCCTGTTTTATTTATGCTTCTAAATGAAACGTCTACTCAAAAAAGCTGCAAGGTAATAAAGAAAATACAGTTTACTTGTTGACAACATCTGCTTTCATTAAGACAAAACTAAGCCCACAATATATTAAAATAGTTTACATAAAATAAACTTTCTATACTGATTAAGGCAGGTTACATTATGTGCCATGAAGCCCAATGTCCTCAAAACGGAGTTGCTCATCTAAGATAATGAATCCTATAATGTTTTAGCTGCTGCTTGTGAATTGTTTCATCATTTCAAAGCCCATACAGATGGCGGTGGCCTGCTAGCATGGACTTTCCTTTCTGTTTCTACTGTTTTGCTATATTTTGTGGGATGCCGTGTTTTCAAGTGGTAACAAACCTTTAAAGGAGAAGTTCATGAGCCCTCACCTGATTCATGAACAATATTCTAAATCTCTCGTCTACTGTCCCTCACAGAAACTGTGAAATAGTTCCAAACAGCCCTCTTTTGTTTCACTGTTGATCTGCTGCAGCTCAAGCTGTTTAAATGCATCTGCACTGACTGGTGGAGGAAAGCGAAGAAAAGAAATAGCATTTTCAATCATGGTTTCTCCTTTTCGTTATCATTCAAATAACTGGTTAAGTGTTAAAATTTGACTTTTTTTGTAGCTTTTCTTTTTTTTTCCAAAAACCGAAAGAGACCCTTTTCAGCCGAAATGTTTCAGTTGCTGAGATTTTCGTGGATCCCTGCATTTTTAATACACTGGCAGTCAAAAAGAAGGCAGATAAAGTTCCATGCAAAAGTCAGAGACCAGTCAAAATGGGCATTACAGGAAAAAAGCATAAAGCATATTTATCAGAAAATTACACAGAAGTCTCAACAGCTATATATTAGTATTTTGTTTATCCACTCTTTGCCTTTATTACAGCTTCCCTTTCTTTCAGGAGACTTGCTCTTAATTTTTTAAATACATCTGTAGGGATATTTTTCCACACATCCAAAGCTGAGTTGAAATACAGTAGTATTTTATCAATACTGTGCAGCTCTAACGCCCAGGAGACTACAGAGAATACATAGTGTGTGTTCTGCTGAAGTAAATGGAGCTGATACGAGTGATAGCTGAAGAGCAGATAGCTTGTGTGTGTACATGCTGCATGTGTGGGAACATACGTAGATAATGTGTGGGTGTGTTTGAGTACAGCTGATAGCTATTTGAGAGGAAAAAACATGACCACTAGGAGTGTGTGTGTGTGCGTGTGTGTGTTTGTGTGGGTCGGCTGCTGCTCTGATGACTCATTCTGACTCACACCTGTAGACGCCCCACAGGAGCAAAGCAAGTTAACATCCATGAAAACGCACAACACAGAGCAGTAGTGCTTTCAGCAAAACACCACCAAACCACCATGTACCATAAAACATCATACTCCCACGAATGAACCAAAACATATTATGGCAATGGAGGGATGCTTTATCAAACAAGTTACAACTCTGCCAACCAATGCACAGGATCATCGCAAACACATTTGCCATTCGAAGACCTGCATTTGAAATGAATAGTCTCTGAATATCCCATTGAGAAATGATTTTATATTGTTATGAATAAAAAACAAAAAATCAGGTTTTACATTCGTTTCTGCACTCATGTTCAAAGGTTTAGAATCACTTGTCAGATTAAGAATTGCTGTTATTTTATTAAACAACTCAATTCAATAATTTATACAGTGCAGATTGAAACAAGCTAGACACCTGAAGCTATTTTAAGATGTTTTATGTAATATAATAGCACAACAGCACACACAGACACAGACTCACACACTAGAAGCACAGTCAGCCGTACTCACCAGTCTTGCGGAGAGGGAAGTCGTCTTTGCCCTCATAGGCCCCCAGCAGTGGGGGCAGTTTGTAAGACGGTGGGGTGCCTGGGGTGTTGCTCTGTGGAGGGGAACTCTGGTCTAGAGATGTGTGGTGGGCACCCCTACACACACAAACACACACACAGATTTGCTTTTATATCATGTGTGTGCACCTATATGGTAAGTGGAGCTGATAAAATGGACAAAGAGTGTGGAAACAAGACGGTGGTTTTAATGTTACGGCTGATCGCACTGCAATAGATAGTATCTTTTCAAGTAAAATTATCTTAAATATAGTCGATATATCCAATATTTCTCCTGTTGATATTGTTGTAAGCTTATTTTAAGATTATTTAACTTATTTCCAAACATTTTTTTTACTTGTTTTAAGTAAAATTATCTCACTATATAGGCAGATAATTTTGCTTGATTTAAGAAATGTGCTTGAAACAAGCAAAATTATCTCCTAACAAGGGCTTTTTTACAGGTTACCCTGTTTTTCACTGATTTCCCACATAGTGAGGGCATTTTTATCCAGAAAACAAATTAACACAAAAAGCATACACTGTTCTGCCTCAACCACCACTCTGCAACAAACACAAACATGTACAACCAGAAAATGCATTAGCCATCACTAACATTAATACAATACAGTTTAAAACCAACCAGCTGACACTCCCACCAGCCCGAGGCACGTACTTTGGATGTAATGAGAACGGAACAAAACATGATCCTATTTCTAAGACTCTGATTATGCTTAACAAAGGGCTGAAAAACAATATGCAGAGAAGAATTTCCGTTCATACAGCTCCCTAATCCCTGACTAGCCTTATTCTAGGCTTTACTCAGACAGGGCGATAAGGGGTGTGGAATGTGCCACTCACCAGCACTTCTGGGGGAAGGAATGGTTGAGTCCGCCAGAGGGGGGTTCCTTTTTGCTCAGCAGGAACTCCTGGAGCTTTAGTTTGACCTCAGTGCTGGCGATGGCACCTGGCAGAGTGGACACAGACAGAGAGTGTCTCCAAAACATACATAAACAACTTTGCAACAGTACTCATGGTCTGAACTATGAAATTTGTCCATAGTTTTGTCCATTGTTATAGATAATAGTATGTCATATAGTGTCAGAAATAAGATGAGCAAGTCTATTTAAGATGACTTAACAAAGCATGATGAGGCAAGAGACTTGCATGAGGCAAACTGGTGAGATACAAACTTCCATTACTCCTTGGCTATTAGCCTCACAGTTCCAGTGCAAAACTAAAGCAAAACTTCAGACACCAAATATGCTTGGATGGACAACCACATCTGGGGTAAAGAGAAAAGTGCGCAAATTTGCTCACTGAAACATCGCTTTAATATGTGCAGCTCATTTTCCACTGAAATCAGTTTTTATTCGCGCGTGAAGTTTTATTTGAAAGGTCTGAAGTTTGTGTCTTCATTCCTCAGAAGGAACGTGTCTGCGTTATCCATTCCAAACAGCAGGTTAGCTGAGCTAATGGTGCACTTCTTGGCCATGAACTGCACACCCCCAGCTCATTCATAATCCACTGAGTGGATTACGTCATGCGCGATGGTCACACAGCTGTTGAATTCATCTAGAGTGTGAAAGCATTTGTTCCTGAAACATCTCTTAATGTAAAACCATAATTTGATTTACCGCGCTGACGTACTGCTGCCTATTCATAGCCAGAACGCTCCGGCTCCGCTTCCATTATGCAACCTTCTGCTGGTTTTTTAGTGATTAGATTCTTAATGGAGAAAAGCATTAGGACAGAACAGGGCTCTGGGGGAGGAACGCCACTTAGAAACAATATTACTAAAAGTAAGACTTAGGGGTGCTAAGAGTAGTACAAGTTAATGAAATTATGAAGAGTGTTGTGTTAATTATGAAATGTATGAGTAGCCAAACTGGGATTGTAAAGAGTAAGATTAGTAGGATTTGGCTTAGTAAGACTAACAGTCTCTATGTGCAGCAGGCAACTCCTGTTGACTCAACATCAACATCTCAACAGTTTTCGCCCACATAGTCCAAGACATGTCTGGTGCCTGAAGTTCTTTAGTTCTTTAGTTTTGAAGCTGGAGCTTTGAGGCTAACATTGCCACCAAGTAATGGAAGCTTATGGGGCAAAACACATATCTGCTGGTTGAGTTCAAAACATTCTTAATTGCCACTGGTTTCACTTACAGACAGTGATTAAAAATCAGTTAAGCTGGAACTTGAAACAGGCATTTTGCAACCAAATAAACACAGCAGTCACAAATACAACATGACTGCAGAATATTTTGCTGAGCCAAATAACTAAAGTACGGAGCCCCGCTGGTGACAAACTGTATACATAAAAATAATGCGTGGCCATGACTTAGTAAGTCATGGGAACAAGATAACTATGTCGTGGCCACAACTTAGTAAGGAGAGGGCATGAGATCCTAACGCGTGGCTACGACTTAGTAAGGCATGATCTCGTCCCCATGCCTTACTAAGTCGTGGCCTTGACAAAAGGATCTCATTCCCATGCCTTACTAAGTCGTGGCCACGCATTAGGATCTCATTCCCATGTATTAATATGGCCACACATTGTTTTTATTTATATGAGATGTCACCAGCAGGACTGTTGTACGAAAGCACAACAACTATAAAATCAATTTTTCACCAAAACATTGCTTTAATACTGAATGTGAGAGGACAGGACTAGTCATGAGAGGACAGGACTAGCAGACTGTGGAAGGACACTAGTCATACACAAGTAAAGGTACTGTGTGTTTGGGTTGCTGCGTTGTCTATGAGCTAATAACACCAAGCCTACAGCTGAAAATTAGCCAGCAGGCTAACACTGGCACATTAATGGGAATAGTGGGCCGATGCTGATATCGATGTTGATGTTGATACATAAACATTTATAAAATGCAGAAATAGGGAATGTATCTACCTAGAATAGCACTGCAGAGAAATATAACATATTTCTATAAAGCTACAAATAAAGTACAATGAATAAAACGCACATATTTTACTGCAATAACGCAGCATCTCCAAACGTTCTGTCCTCTGTACAACAAATAAGGCACCAAATATTGGTTTGAAATCTAAAAGCAAATATCTGCTGATAGTAATATGATTCTAATATCATTGGGCACCCCTAAACATTATGTTGATAAATGTGCATCCCCATGTGTCCTTGTATACTAGGGTTGCTATATATAGATGCTTTGGGTGCGAGTGTCTTGCATACTCTCTTTGCCTTTCTCCTTGTTGCGAAGCATGATGAGCTGCTGCTCCAGCCTCTGTTTCTCCAGCTCTTCGTGCCTCTGCTGCTCCAGTTTCCTCTTCTGCTCCAGCTCTTGCTGACGCTTTACTGCCAACAGCTCCTGCTGCTGCTGCACACACACACACAGCCAGGAGGCAAAGGTAAAGAGGTCAAACAGAGCACATATCAACTACGTCATAACCCCCGCAACACACACAACACGTCAACCCAAACTGCATACGCCAAAGACCTGTACACACACACACACACACACACTCACACACACAAACATAACCAGTTCAAACCTGATCACACGCTCTATCATTCCCTTCTGTGCCTCTCTCTCCCTCTAAAGCATCCATCCACCCACTAGACCTGCACGATAACTAATTTTTCTTTACCAACATAGATCATAAATACCTAGCTCATGTTATTTATTGAGGATGTGCATTTTGACTAAATCTGACATTCAAGTATCCATAAGAGTTGTATGGATACAGTGGAGGAGGAAAAAACAATGGCATAAAAAAACTGTGGCTTACTTTTTTAGGTAACAGCACTGGTGTCGCAAACAATTTAGCAGCATAGCTGAGGGAGATCGGTAGGTTTTCGTGTCGGATGAGCAATATAATGGAGACTGCCTCAAATTAATTAATAAGCTAAAAGTACAGCTAACTGCTAACACTGGATGCTGATGGAGACCTGTTGCCTATTACAGGTGTGCTGTGGACGATGTGCCAACATGTTTGTTTGTCAGATATATTTTCACCATTTCTGGACTGAATGTCAGCCTAGCCTATTTGGCAATAAAGCAGCTTTCTGAGACACATCAACATGTCCTTGGCAACACACTCACATTCAGGCACTCACATTTCAAGGTGGTAAAGTATAACAAAACACACTCACAAGAAAAACTTTCACTATTTACAGTAAAACAAAATCGGTGTCTCACTGAACTGTTGGTCTGAATATTTCCTCTGTCGTTCTGCAATGAAACACAACGAATATCTAAACAGTGATTTCAGTACTCGGAATACCGGCACCTTAAACGGATAACCAAGTACTTGTGTACCTGTGCACCGACAGATGACATATCAATGACTGTCTGTTAGTGGTCAGGATGCTAACAGCATGTATTAAACAATTTAGTGATTGGTTTAAGGGCTCATTTGCATATTGCATCCAATTGTTGTGATATCAGTATTGCGTAGGCCAATATTATGATAACAATGCTGTTCTCTTATGTGACCGAGTCTCCAGGTCTGGCCCATTCACACTGGTCTGGAATGTTCTTACTCATTTACACTGTCCTAATATACTGTACTCCATTCACAATGTTCTACAACAGAGGTCTTCAAACATGGACCTTGAATCCAGCTACCAATCCTGGATTTCATAATCACTGGTAGGAATGACACTATGAGGCGAATAAGTTACATCAACAGTTCAGTTTACCCGTGACTACAAAATTCAAGACTGGATTCAAGGCCCAAAATTGAAGAGCACCATTCTAGAACGTTCTTCCCTATTCACACAGTTTAAGTCTGTTCTTTGCCCATTCGATCTGGTTTATTTGGGTTGTTGGAACAGTACAAAGCCAACTGCCAACATTAAAATGTTGGTGCTTGTTGAGGAATGGTAAATCAGTGTGCTATGGCCTTAACACCCCCCACGCGTGTACCTTGAGGTGCTCTTGCAGCTGGGCCTCATGTTGGCGGGTAAGGACCTCATGCTGCTTCTGGAACTCGGCGAAGAGCAGCTGCTTCTGAAGCTCCTGCTGCTGCTTTAACAGCAGCAGCTCATGCTGGAGCTGCTGTTCCCTCAGCGCCGGGTCCATACCGCTGAGAGCGCTCAGACGAGGGTCTGCCCGCAGCTCTGTCCGCAAATCCACCGGCCCTCCTCCTCCTCCACCACCTCCACCCTGCTCGCCACCTCCTCCCCCGACTGGACTCTGCATGCCAGAGGACAGTGAGCTCTTGACCTCCACCGCTATAAAAGAAAGAAATAAAGGTCATAAGTTATCACATAATCGCACAACAGTCTGTGAGAGGCTATTTCAACTTTATTACTCAGAAGTGCACAGCATTTCATATTGGCATTGGGGTGGCCTTTGTCATGTAGGAAAACTGTCATGTAACTCAACTGTAACTAAGAGTTGTTTGCATTTGGATGGTCAATGGAAACCGGCAAAATTTTCATGTGAACAATTTGTATGCCAGCTGGTATTGACTAATCAGATTGTTTACCTCAACAACAACAAAAAGACTTTGCACACTGAAAATATACGTGGTATCGGGGACAGCTTTAATTGGGCCTCACTGGATCATGTTTTGAGGCCAAAATTGACCTGAATTTATCAGAATATTGTCTGAAAGTGACCTAAACTGATTTTTTTTTCACCTATAATATAAAATGATCTGCTGTAACAAATAATCACCTGTGCAAAATTAATTTCAAATCCTTCTTTAATGAACTCATTCATCAAATAATGCTTTTGAACAGCATCTCAAACGTTTTTAGTCTGGATAAACCTTGTATATTTCACTATTATTATGTGTGCAGGAGGATGTTTCTCTCATCTATTTAACCTTTCTCTATGTACAACATGTCACTTATAACCTATTAAACATATAAAAATAGCTTTAGCCAAACAAATGAAACACTGTTTTGGTTGCACCTGAATCGATTTGCTGCTTATACAAAGCGCAGGCCTCATGGGCCTTGGTGCAGACTGGGTGACTCCAGTGCCAGATTAAAAACTAAATGCAGAAATGCAGTTTATACATGAGTAAACCTGAGTTTACAACTTGCCAGAGTTTATCACTTGTAATTGCGACTTTGCCAGTGACTTGCACCGAAATTTCTTAGAACCATCCAAAGGTACCAAAAAGCACATATTTGACTGTACCCATCATTGTATGCAAGGTTTTGACACAAGAAATAAAATCAATTTGAACAGCCATGAAAATTAGGTTTCACGTGAGCATAACAAAGAACTACTAGGTCAACTTACGTTGTTAGTTAGGTTACTATGTGCAAACTAAGCCAGTCTTTCTAGTCACAGTACACAGGCTACTATACAGAGACTAGACCACACCACTGTTTTCATGGCTTTAAAACAGGAATCGACTTGCTTGCCTAGAGCAAGTTACGTAAGAAAAAGGCTATTGCTAGCAAGAGTGTGACAGGAGGCATTCCGGATTGCATGTACAGCATTTTCGCCAACACCGGGATGACATTTGCCTGTGTCGGCCCACGTTACTGTAACAACGTCTAACTTTCAAATGTCGTAATGTTAACGGATGCCCCCTCGCACTGAGGGTCTGTGAACTCTTTCGTGCTCTGCAGCTTCGACTCTGATCTAGGACCGGTATCAGAATCATTACCCCAGGCATTACAAAAGAATTAGACAGTGTTATAATGGCATTGAACAGAAGTATCGTCCAGGGGAAAAGAGCTCAGGCTAGGGGTGGGCAAAGTGGACGAAATATATCAGAATATTTGAGGACACTTTCATGAAGCACAATATGTATATCACACGATCTCATTTCTGAGTTTTGACAAGTTGTAATAAACACAGTTCATCAGCAGTTCCATATATAAATGTGTTTAAATAACAAATAGACTCTAGTAAGCCTCTTTAAGTGTCTTTAAGTACTGGCGATACCTCATGATATACTGAGAAATTGGTGGAAATGATATACTGTCCTATCTTCTACACCTAGCTTAGGAATGGTTGCTCTTTCTCAGTCTCCCTTTCTCTCTCCCTCAGTCACGTCCACAGTAGCCAGTGGTCAGAGAGCTGAGCCGGCCCAGACAGTGTTGGCAGGCACCTCTAGCTGGCACTGATGGCACTGGAAATGACCTGGCAGCCACCACGCTGCTCCTTTCATCTGTTTCTTATATGAAAAAGGAAAATTATAATACATTATAATGAGTAGTTCTATGTATGCGCAAACCAGTCCTGTTTGTTTAGCCTTTCTTTAACCCACAGGGATCTGCTGATCTACTGTCCTATATGTTAGGTACTACACATTATATATTATCTATTAGGATCCAAAGGTCAACACAATCAACTGATAAATTTCCTTATCTAGAGCACACACACATTTTATACCTAGTACAACTGGCACTGAAATTATTTAACGCCATCTGAATTAGTAGTGCGTGCTATATGAACCGGTCAAAATTGTTCCTTATGTAACTGTTATACTGGTACGCCACAAATAAGCAAAAATAATGCAGCATACAAACAAACCAAACAGCACATGGGAAGCACATACGAGACAAATGACTTCAGAAATTTGACGAAGCTGAAGTTGGCTTCTTATTTGAATTTCCTGTTCCACCTTAAACGATGCAGCAATTACAGGTTCTGATGTACAGGTCCCAGAATGTAACTGCTGTTCCATTTAATGTGGAAGCCAACGTCAGGCTTGTAGAAATTCAGACGTGGCACAATATGTAGCACCGTTTTGCCAGGCCTGCGGGGCTAGTGTTGGAAAGCAATACTGTTCCGCTTTGTTTTTACCATTTTGCACAATGAAAATATTTCAGATTTACGCTGGTTGTTAAAAGTGCTTCGTATTAAAAAGTGAAGATTTCCCAGAATTACAGAATTATCAGCAAAAATAGATACTTAAGCATCTAAAGTCAGTTTTTTTTGTAAAAATATTGATATACACTGAAGCCGTCTGAAATTTTAATTATACCATGATTTACATTTTTGACCACTGAGCCCACTTCTAATCTAATTTTTAAAATATCCTATATGTGCATACATGTTTATCTATTTTTCTTTAGTCTTTATCAGCCTATATAACCTGTCTTTGTGTGATCACTCACCAGAATATCGCTGCTGTCGGAAGAAAACCTCGTATCTCCATTTTTTGTCGTTTTTCAGTAATTTGAAAATACCCTTTATATTGTGTGTACATTTCATGATGAATGGACCAACAGAAATGGCACAAAATGACAAAATGAAAAGTCTGGTTCCACTGACTTACATTAAAAGTAAAGTAGGTTTTTTTCCTTCTCCTGTAACGTTACCATTTTGGAGATGTGAGGTTTTGTTCCAACAACAACGATATATTCCTTGTGTCTGAAAATATTCTAGGCTAATAAATGACTTCTGATTGGTTATTTTTTCATTATTTTAAAAGCATTTCCAGGGAGTTCCAGCCAATATCAATACCAACCCATTTTTTTTTTCTTTAAGAACTATAAAGCTTTAAAATGACTATTTAACAGATTTTAAATCACTAATTTAAAAACTATTTTTAGTTGAAGCACTCTGCTAATGATGAACACCTAAAGGCTATCACACTCAAACTACCCGAACAATCTACTACCCCACAGTAAGAACTACACAGCTAACAACATGACATCACACAGTGTGAATGTGCGTGTATCAGGCTTCATTACAGGATTGGATTCATTCGTTCCCTCAGATACCCGATCCAGCATGTTCCACTTTCTACAACACTTCATTTAAATGATGTATTTGTTCTGACAAACAGACAAAAAAAGAGCTCCAAGTCAACCACTAAGTCTCTGTGCAGTAACCCATTAGCACTCTGCCCCATTTGGCTGCGGTGTCTCCCTGCCCCAGTGTGAATTAGTGCCTCTGTAACTGCTGACCACTGCACTGCTTTCTTCCACGACACAGGCTGCGTCAGCTTTCCAAGAAAACTGACCTACTGCCACATCTGGCGGTTTCTTACACCCCACGCAGCATCCTCCATCCGCTCTTCTTTCCCTTCGTTTTCAATCTGTCCAGTCTCATCACTCTGCATCTGTCTACTCTCATCACTCTGCCTGTTTTTTTTGTGATAGTATAAACTGAGCAGAAAAAAACAAGCTCAAAAGACACTCTGAGATAAATGAGACGAAGACAGGCTGGGACACGGTTCAATCAAAACCCCTCAGACTAATGTCTCGCGCACTCAATAACCTGCAAGCAAGCAATTTAGCTCAGAACACAGCATCAGCCGTTCCAACACAATCGGTTATGTCAGAGCCTTTTACGGCACTTCCTGTTGAAGACAGTCTACCCGCATAGCGAGATAAGACCTAAGAATCTATCAATGTAAAAATTGGCGCATCTCTACAGTAAAACAAAAAAGAAAATGAAAAAAAAGGCTGGGATTGAAGTCACAGTGTTCTCTGGCAATAACAAAACACAATAGTATGCTGTATTTTTTAGGGCTGTCAAACAAATAACTAATCAAGATTAATCACATTATTTTGTGTTGTTGTTTTCATTTGTTTGCTCATTGGTTTATCCATAGTTCTGTCACAAGCACTGTCCAGTGTGTCTGCTGAAGATGCTGAAGGCATCACTTCAAAAGCCATTTAAAGGCTGTAGTTGAACAAGCTGTGGCTGAAGGAGTAGAGCTTCAGCCTGGACCACTATGGATAGTTCTGAGGGTCAAACTTGGAAAGTGTGTTAAAAAGGGGGGCAAAGCAAGCAGAGGTATTCTAAAGGTGTGGATCCATATCACTTTTTTGTCTTGGAGGTAGAAAAGAAGACATCTGAATTTGATTAACAGTTACTGTTGCATGCAAAATCTTGTTTTGTGGAAAGAAAAACACTGTCCTGTGCTTCCTTCGCACTGAGTGTGCTGTTAGTTAAGTTAGGTAAGCTATTAACATTAGCTAGTACATACCATTCTGTTACATGTGTTAAGAATTAACAGTTGTGCTTTCTCCTGAAACTTCAGCTAAACTCCACGCTCTTGCCACTGGCTTAGACATGCATGGCATGGCATTCGAATGATGACCTACGTCATTAAATATTTTGTCTCTGGAATTGATCTTTAAGCCAAAAGAGTAGCCTATGCAATAGGAGAAGACTGGTAAGTTATCCAGTTAAGTTATCCAGTAATCCAACGGACAAATCTAAGCAGTGTTCAAATTCAAGCAGTGCAGCTACATTCTGTTACATGTCATAGTCATATCACACAAGCTCAGGGATGTGCGCTCATGCT